TGTTTCCCTCCACCCTCTTCTCTGCTGTCCATCCCCCAGGGAGGAGGCAATACTTAGATTCTTGTAATTGGTTCCCTCTTTCTACCCCACATTCCCTTCACCCTCCAGGCATTGCCCCTCTCACCACTGATCCTGAAGGAGTCATCTATACTGGATTCCCTGTATTTCCAGTTGCCATCTGTACCAGTGTACATCCTCCAGTCCAGCCAGATTTGTAAGGTAGAATTGGGATCATGATAGTGTGGGGGAGGAAACATTAAAGAACTAGAGGAAAGTTATATGTTTCATCGTTGCTACCCTGCACCCTGATTGGCTCATCTCCTCCCCACCAACCCCTCAGTAAGGGGGTGTTCAGTTGCCCACCGATGGGATGCCACATTCTTTATATAACACAGCTTCTCTTAATGATTTCCCTCAGCATATAAGTATGGTGAGAGGCTACAGCCCTGACACACACGCCTTTCCTGACGGTAAACCATGCAGTAGTCCCTTGTTCTGTATGCACAACTGCCTCTTGATGCAAGTGAGTTCCACGTGAGCACAAGGAAGTATTCTGGAATTCCCATTCTTAAGGCTATCCATAGTCTGTTAGGATCCACACAATCAAACGCCTTTGCACATCAATGAAACACAAGTAAACATCTTGGATTTTGTACCTTCAGCCAAGATCCATCCTCTGTTAGCAGTAATACAATGCCCTTGTTCCATGTCCTTTTCTGAATCGGACCTGAACGTCTGGCAGCTCCTTGTCGAGTAGACCGCTGCAACCGTTACTGAATGATTGCCAGCAAAACTCCTAGCCAAGTGATATCAGTGATCGTGCTGTCTAATTTGTATATTCTGTTGGGTCATCTCTCTTGGGAATGGATACAAATAGGGATCTCTTCCAGTCAGTTGGCCACATATTTGGTTTCCAAATTTTTTGCCATAGACAAATGAGTGTGTCCAGTGCTTCCTCATTTGAAACCTTTCAGTTGGTATTTGGTCCATTCTGGAGCCTTGTTGGCTAATGCCTTCAGGGGGGCTTGAACTTCTCCCATCAGCACCGTTGCTCTTGATCATAAACTGCCTCTTGAAACGGTGGCTGCCGACTGGTTCTTTCTGGTGCAGCGCCTCTTGTGTTTTCTTTCCATTTCATTTGACGCTTCCTGCATCTTTCAGTATTTTGCTCATAGTCTTTCAATATTGCAACTGAGGCTTGGATTTTTTTTCAGTTCTCACAGTTTCAGACGTGCCCATCCTGGTTCTTTGTCTTCTCAAGCTGCCCCTTCGAAGTGTTCCGCTCAGCCATCAGTTCAGGATAAAGTTGATAAGAGAGGTGAAGACCGTTTTGAGTGCAGGTCATGTTGAGGGTAACCTGCTTGTCGAAACTCAGGAGGAACCTGCTGGTTTGGGAGTCATCAGGGAGGTGGAATGAAAGGGCTGAGAATGGAAGACATCACTGGGTGAGTGTGCTGAGTGAAGGACAGCGTCCACATTCATGGTGGTGGGAATAAATAGTGTGTGTGTCGGGGGGGAACGGCCTCGGAAGGAGAATGAAAAGGAACAGCTAGAGTTTGGGGAACTAGGAGAGAATGACATCTCTAGAGCCCAGGGGAGGAGAGTCTGTGGGGGCGCCGCGGTGGTGTCCAGGTGAGTGTACCATGTGTTAAAAGAGCAGGGACTTGTGGAGTGGGGGGATGATTCAAGGAGAAGGGTATGAGTGGAGCCTGGAGGTCTGAGGAATTAGGACAGAGTGGGCCGTGGAGAGATGGAATAGGAGGGAATGAACCAGTTGCCCTTGGCTAGTGAAGAGAGAACCTTCTAGAAGGCAGACCTGGGGCACATTTAGCCTGCATTCTTGGTTCGTCAGCACGGTTCCCTGGGTTTGGCTCAGAAGCCCTCTCTAAATGTGGAGGGAATGAATGGAAGTCCATCTTAATGGTTTTAGTAGGAAGCTGACGTCAGAATGGATTGATTGGTTGTTTTGGGGGATTGATGAGACCTGGGGGATGGCGTGTGGCAAAAGCAAAACAGCGCAGTCTACTAGTCTAGTTGGGTGGCGGCTCTCTTCAGACGTAGTGGGGCTCCTGATGGGCTGTGCAGCCCTGCGCAGATGACACCCAGCCATAATCCGGGTCACTTCTGTTCATCTCTGTGCCGACCTATCTGTCAAGACCATTTGCAGGATGTTTTGGGAAGGACCGAGAGCAGATGTGAGACGGGGGAGCAGAGAACTCAAGCGTGTCTGGGGCAGGCAGGGACCTGGGACACCCCATATGGCCCCTCTCACTAGTCTCTTACCCAGCCCTTTCCACTGTTTACTGAGGGAATGCGCTCAGGATGGGCAGTCCAGGCTGACTTCAAGGGTGAGTGGACTTGTGGAGAGCTTCAACTACCCGACTAGGCCTGGGCACTTTGGTCCGAGGCAGCGTGGGCAGAGCACAGACTCGAGGCATGGGCGCCGTGACCCCTGTGAGGTTGGGGGTCCTGGCCCCTTGCCTGGCTGCGGAGCCGCGGCCGACCGGAGGCCAGTCTTCGCTAAGCTCCTGGTGTTCCTCTCGGTGACCCCGTCCACCTCTCTGTGTCCACTTCCGGTCCTGTGTTACCTTTCCATTGCGACTCTGACAGATGGCTAGAGGCATGTGGCTTCAGGCAGCGGTGCTGTAGCTCAGAAGCGGGTCCTGTAGTGCTGGTCCAGCAGGGTTGTCCACTGTGGTGAAGATCTGGGGGTAGAATTGGTCCCTTGTCCTTGCCAGCTGCTCCTATTTAGTCCCCTCTTCCCCTACCTTCAAGGGCAGCAAGTCAGGCCAGGTCTCTCCTCCGTGCATCACTCACACACGGCTTCTTCTCCTGCCTCCTCCCCCTCTGCGAAGGGCCCTGTGATCACATTGCTCTCGCCAGGGTAATCCAGGGTAATCTGCCTCTTTTAAGGCCGACTGATGAGCAACCTTCAGCTCCCCAGTGCGTGCCATGTCCACGTACTCCACAGGTTCCGGAGATTAGGATGTGGGCGTCTTTGGGGGACCGTTATCCTGTCAGCTCCCCCCCCTACCCCCGGCCATGCCTCCTCTTTCACAAGCTGCCTTTCCGGATGCCTTTACGGCCCTCCACGGCGCCTAACTGAAAGTGTAGTGTGGAGGCGATTGTGTCCGAAGCTCTGCTCTGCTCTCTCCCCGGGACCTCCTCTGTTCCCTTGATGTGCACTTTCCTGACCTCGGGACTGCCTGTCTAGGGCTCTCAGCTCTGAAAAGTCCCGCCCCTCCCAGTGGCGGAGTCCCTGGTCCCCTTGCCTGCCCGACTGCAGTGTTTCTGCAGCGGAGCGTCCCTGCCTCCTCTTCCTCTCTTCCCTTGACAAGCATGGGCGGCTCAGCTGAAGAACTCCGAGCAGGAGTCTGCAGTCCCGCTCCGTAAGATCTGGAATGTGATGGAGAGTCGAGCCGTTCGGGTCCGAGGGGTGGTGGGCTCAGCCCTTAGTCACACGCTGCTAAAGGAGGCTCTTGAGAGGGCTTCTTGATGTACGTTTCGAAAATCACTGGTTTCGGCTGTTCCGCTCGGCCACTTCCAATGAAAAGTGGCGATGCAGGTCTTCTTGGACGGCCGCCTTCAGCTTCCCGACACCCTCGCCCCTCTCTGGGGAAACAGCACATTTCCCGTCTCCATGCCTTGACTCCGTCCACTCCTGCTGGGCAGGCCTTGCAGGCAGTGGGCACTCAGGATCCACTTGTTGGTGGAATGAGTGAGGACTTGTGTCTGGAAGAGCGGGCTGTACCCCACCTGGAGTGCCCCAGCTTCCGGGTTGGCTGACCTGCTCAGACTGCTTTCCCTGGGACATTGCAAGCGTGGCCCTAAGTTCTGGGATTCTCTGTGGTTCCCCAGCTCAGCGTTCCTCCGCTGAAGCAGCACTGCAGGGCCGCCACTCCTCTGGAGCACTCAGGCATTGATTTGTGCCACCCTGCAGCGTGACCCTCTTCCAGGCCTCATCTCCCCATCTAATGGGCTTGGCTGACCCCGTGTCTCCCAATGTCGGCGTAACCAAGTTTTAAATGTGTTGATGAGAAACTTGACTGTAGTATAGTGAATCAGTCCTGTATATCATACGCCTAATTACCTTTGCTTTGGCATGATGTAAATGCAGTGTTAAATCAACCTTTCCCTTTGCAGCAAAGGGCAGCGTTTCGGTCATACTGCCCTCCCGCCCCCGGGGAAGCAGCGGTGAGAGGTGCACGGTACAGCAAGCTAGGCTGAGGTTCTCACAGTGTGGACAAGCTGCCCTAGTGAACTGTGCACGGCTCAGCTGGTCCCCACCCCTTCAGCCGTGTTCTTTCCCCTCACCCCTAGCTGCCCTGGCTCGTTGTCACTTGGGAACTGCCTGCCTTTTGGCCCAAGGTAAGGTGCCTGGGCTCCCTCAGATGCAGTCCCATGGCCACGGGCATAAGGACGGGAGCTGGCCTCTCCTTTAGACTCGGAGGGCATTAGGCTACAGATGGGTTTGCTCCAGGTTGTTTCTGCGACGGTCAGAAAGACAAACCTTTTGCTAGGAGATGTTAGCGTCATTGCCGCTGAGACAGCTGCTTCGGCTTTTTCCCAGGCAGGCAGGTGGATGTGTTCTGGGTCTGAGTGCCCGTTTCCTTGTGGCTCTGCCTGCCTTTCTCTCTTGCTTGGTTTTCACTGCAACCAACCAGCTGGAGTGGAGACGGGACTGATTGGATTTCTCCCGATGGTCTGCACAGGGTGCCAACGAGTACCTGTCTTCCCTGGAGGAGAACAAGAAGTCCAAGGGTCGACGCCAGCCCTTAAGCAAGCTGCCCCGCCATCACCCACTTGTGTTGCAGGAGTGCGTCAGCGACGACGGTAAGCGGTGCTTTCTCGCGCTTCTCTGCACTGGGCGTGCTCTGACAGGACAGCCGGGGCAGGCTGAGGGATCAGGGTGGGCTTGTGGCTGAACTCTTCTCCAGACACCCCAGGAAGCAGGCTGGAGTTCTTTCTTCCTTTTGCATCAGATTTGCTGGTCAGAATTCATGATGTGTTTGAGTAACTCGGGGGCTCTACCTACTAGGGTAGGGGGAGATTGCCTGGGCGTTCCTGCAGGTCTTTTATGGGCTGAGGATTCAGGAGAGCAGATTCTGCCCACGATGCCAGGCCTTGTTCCAGCTGTGCGGAACGTTGTGTCCTTGCCCTCCGGGGCAGCTGACGGGCTAGAGGGGCAGACACGTGGGTGGCTGGATGTGCAGAAGGAGCGGAGCGGTGGGTGACCAAGGATGGAGCAGCGGGGGCCTGTGCAGAGGAGCTGCAGCCAGTCCCAGTGGCTGGGCAGGGCCCGGGAGGGTAGAGGCCATGGACTGCATGTGTTGTGCCGTGTGAGGAGGCAGTGAGGACTGCCGTCAAGGCCTGTGGGGCCCACTGACGGGGGTGAAGCAGGGGCATCGTGGCACTCTGTCTTGAGGGGACCGCCTGACCTTTCTTGATGGAATCTGGGGTCCTCGGTTGGCACCTATTCGGAGGGACCAGCCTCTGGAGAAGGACACCGTGCTGGCCACGTGGAGGAGCAGCGAAGAACAAGGCCCCAGTGAGAGAAGGGTCTGCAGAGTAGACGGGAGAATGGGCTCAAACCCAGAGTCCTTGGTGAGGATGTGCAGTGAAGCTCCCCTCTGTGCGAACGTCACTTTCCCAAGAACTGGTGCGAGGCCCTTGCTGGGCACGGGCGTACGTACGCGTGCATACTTGCTGTACCTCCAGGGTGGAAGCTGTCAGCACTGAGGCCTCCCAAGTCCACCAGACTGCATCTCCCGAGAGGACGAATTTGCTCTTGTGTGTGAAGAACATAGTCACCACACCATCATGTCCCCTAATCTCAGCCTCTAGCTGTGTTTCCCTGTTTGCCCTAGAATGTGCGCGACAGGCTCTTCTGCTTTTGAAACCACTCACCCAGCTCGGGCGACACTTTGCAACTGGCTGTCTCTCTCAGTCTGGTGCGGCCCGCTCTCCCAAAACACACAACCAGCCTACAGTCTTAGAGTAAGGCACACATTCAACTGTACAGCCCAATTAGGTTGTACATATGTAAATGATAGAAAGCACCGAGTTTCCCCCTCGTCATTCCGCGTTCACAGGGAACGCCAGTTGGGTGTTTTTTGATTTTTGTGAAGGGCACAGGTGCCGGTGTGCTCGCGTTTTCTAGTTCCCAATCTCTTTATCCGTCTCCCGGTTTATCCCGGACGTTCCTGTTCCGGCCAAGATGTAGAACGTTTGTTAGAGTTCGGGTGCCTGGCTGGACCTGATTGGCTTGTGTCTGGAGGGGGTTGATTCAGTTGTCTCCCTTGCTGCATTGATGGACACTGGCCCCCACAGAGGGCGCATCCAGTGTCAGCTGCCAGATCCCTTAGATGACAGCGGACCCTGACGACAGCGTGAATTCGTGTTCATCTGCACCAAGCCAAAGTTGCAAAAACTTGGCCCAAGTCTGCACTGCTTGGACTGCTCGGGGCAGGCCTCGGGGCTCTGGGAAGAGGTGAAGCCGGGCCCAGAGGCAGCCAGGTGCAGAGCCCCGGCGGCGAGGTGGGCTGCACACGGAGCTGAAGCCTAGTGATTTGAACCCCCCCAACCACTCTGAGGCAGAAGATGGGGCTGTGTTCCCCTTAATGTTGAGTCTCGGAAACCCACAGGGGCAATTCTACTCTGTCCTACAGGGCCACTCTGAGTCCGAATTGACAGTGGCAGAGAGTCTGGCCTTGGGTCCGCCCCTCGCCGGGGGGCCAGCGTGTGGAGGTGTTTTCTCCATTTGCTTCTACTTAGTGGAGGGTGTTGACTAATGAATTCAGGCCTAAGTGAAGGTTGCCCTTGCCCACCTTTGACTTTCAGACTTAGGGTTTTCTCTTAGCTCCATGACCTTGCTTCTCCTTGGAGCCAGTGGGCTGTGCCCTTCTCTTACTAGCTTGGATGGGTGGGTCGGGCCTGGAAAAGGCATGCTTTGGTCACTCACCTCTTGTGAGTGGCTCTGGTGTCCCGTCGTTCCTGAAAGGAATTTTGTTCCCAGCGGAGTCTGCTTCCCTTGGGCAGAATATGTAAGAGATCAAATTTGCCATCTTGACCAGGGGGCCATGAAGATTTTAGACTGCAGTCTGGCTGTGTCCTGTCACCTGTTACGCGCGCGCTCACACACACACACACACACACACACACACACACACACACACATTAAAGAGGTGGGAGAGAAAAGCGCTGCCAGCTCCTTTGCTCCTTCTGCCGGACCCGTGGGTATTAAGCTCGGGGGCATGGTATATTAGTGGCTGGGCAGGGGTCGCCCTGGACAGGTGACTCTGGCCTCCCCCGGAGGCAAAGCCAGGAAGGACTGCGGAATCCTGCCCAGAAAAGCCGAAAGCTCAGTGGACTTTCCTGAGGGACTGTGACACGGCAGCTCCACCCTCACACGGCCCGGCCCGCGCATTTTGCTCTTTTGCTTCTTGTTTCCCACCCGGCAACGTTAGGGGAAAGTCCCGAGAGGCGTGGGACTTGGCCTGCTGTCACTTGGGAGGCTGCAAGGAATTGAGGTTTCTGACAAGCCACCCAGGCGGCAGGGTTTAGTGCTGGCAGCTGATAGGGGAGCAGACAGCAGGCTGGTCTCCTGGAGGGAGGAGGAGGGGCCATGGCCATTCTGGTCCATGGAAGGGCGATGTAGGATTTCCCCACCATACTATCCAGTCTATGTGTTGCCTTTGGAATCGTGACTTTGCATCAAACGTGGGCCCCGGGCGCCTGGTGGAGGCAGGTGTGGACTCACGTTTCTGCTCCCTCTTCCAGAGTTGTCCGAACAGCTGGCCCCTGAGGAGGAGGCAGAGGAGACAGAGGCCTGGGCCAAGCCCCTCAGCCAGCTATGGCAGAACCGCCCGCCAAACTTTGAGGCTGAAAAAGAATTCAATGAAGCCATGGCCCAGCAGGCCCCTCACTGTGCTGTCTGTATGATTTTTCTGACTTACCATCAGGTAAGCCTTCTCCGGCCCCTTGGTTTGCGCAGGGCCAGTATTGGGGGTAGAGGGGTGGAAGTGGGGGCTAGGTTTAATTGTGAGTACATAGCTGGCCATGGGCTATCTTGGGGGTAGGTCTTCTTTTCCTCCCTAGCCTTCTCTGCACTGTCTGTGGATTGGCCAGACTTTACCAGGGAGAGAACTTAGCTGTGGGCTTTCTATTGGAGCAGCGCTGAGGACCTGGTGTAGCTCCTCGGGGAGCCCCTGCACTCCTTTGCACTTTGCTCATCAAGCTTCCCTCTGGGCAGAGGCATCTGCTGCTCTGTGGGCACTGCTGGCAGGGGTCCTGCAGACCAAGCAGTGTGAGGCCTCCTGGTTCTAGCCGGGTCCTCATGCTTCGTCTCCTCCTTTCTCCCTCACAGCCGCAGGAGACGGGGAGGCTGGAGGAGAGGCCAGGCACTGGAAAACTGGCAGGGCTCCCCCAGCCCCCAGGGGCGCTCGGTTGGCTTCCCCACTGTGGAGCTTGCTGGTTCAGCCCTAGGAGGCCAGGAGGGCATTCACGGCATCGTGTGCCAGGTGACCAGCTCGGTCTCGGCTGGACCCTTCCCAGAGTGGCTGGTTGCCAGTCCCCTGCCATGTTGCTCAACTGGGCGGGGCCCTTGCTTTTTGTACTTTGCCAAAGAATGGCACCCCAGCCCCATGGTCTTTGGATGAGTCACTCCTATCTTTCCGCCTGACAGAAAGCCAAGCTAAGGACCCACTCGGCCTGGTCTGTGGGGAAGTGGGTGACCTGGCCGTCACCATCAGCGTCGTGAGCGGCACAGGCTTAGGGGAGGCAGCTGAGAGAAGTGCGAGGGCATGGTGTTCTTCCTGGAAGGGCTCTGACCGGGTGATTGTGCTGTACCTCAGGTGGCCCCCGAGGCCCCCCTGGGCTACATCACAGGGTGGCAACACAGGAGCCCATCACACCACCGCGCTGCTGGCATCTGGAGCGTTTTATTACCACTTGGTTTGAGAAGACTGAAATCCCAGATGCCTCTTACCTCGCTTCCTTTTTTCAGTCGTCCCCCAGGGGCCTTTGTTTGTTGCTGCTGAGAAATTGAATCTGAGTCATTAGGGGTGGCTTCAATTAGCAGCTCCAGGATAATGGTGATGCACAGGGAGCCCCGCGCTGCCGCTGTGCCACAGGAGCAGGTGGAAGGCCCGGAGCATGGTGCGTGCTCACAAAGGTGTGTGCTGCCTGTCTCTTCTCAGGTTGAGTTTGGGGGCCTGAGTCAGAACTGTGGGGCGGGGCCGGATCTAGCCCCCCAGAAGCAGAGGACCAAGCCGCTGGTCCCAGAGATGTGCTTCACCGCGACGGGCTGCAGCACGGACATCAACCTGTCCACGCCTTACCTCGAGGAGGACGGCACCAGCCTCCTGGTCTCCTGCAGGAAGTGCAGCGTCCGGGTCCACGCCAGTGAGTGCCGCTCACCAGCCTGCCCCGTCTGGAGCCTGGCCGGTGTGGGTCTTCTCACTGGAAGCCCTCGCCGCCTCTCCGTGTCCCCCCACTCTCCCCCATACCCAGATGCACAGATTGTCTCCAAGTTGTTGGGGCATTTGATGCTGATTGATTCTGGGGTTCATTGTCTTTAAGGGGACCCAGTCCCCAGGAGACCATACTTCTACCGGTGACCTCTTGGTTGCAGGAATTGGGGGGCGGGGGGGATGTGGTCAGTGATGACAGTTTCTGACCCTTTGGGTCCTGGTCACACTGTCCCCTAAACTGAGCCCTGGAAGCGCTGCCTCTAGAATTCGGGGAGTTCTGTATGATTTGGCCGCAGCTCTGTGCTGTAGTTTAAGGATGAGAGTTGCAAACCTGCATTTCGACGCTGGGTTTAGTTTGCTCCTCCGTGTCTGTTAGGTTGCTACGGGGTCCCCCCCGCCAAGGCTTCTGAAGACTGGCTGTGCTCGCGGTGCTCAGCCAATGCCCTGGAGGAGGTGAGTGAGCCCACCCTCTGACTGTCCCCATGAGACATCACATTTGCTAAGGGCCAGGCTGCTTCCCAGGGGAGGTTGTATCCCCACCGATCTCTGCTGTGTGGTGATGTCTGCATAACTTGCTGAGGCAGAGCGAGGCCGCTGCCTGGCCCCTGTGACAGGACCCTGAGCAGAGGCTGGCAGCTGCTGGCTCCACCATGTCTTAGGACCAAGTGCAGGTCCTGAGGAAGAAGCCTCAGCCGTGCCACAGCATTTGGGAGCCTGAGGACAGGGCAGCCTTCCCTGTGCACGGCCCGGAGCCCCGCAGCTTCCACAGCGGAGGCAGCCGGAGCTCTGGGGAGCCGCCAGCTGGGGCAGAGTGTCTGTGTTCCACTGCGTCCAGTGACTGTGGACACTAAACGGCGAGGACAGATACTTGGGATGCCGCTCAGCCCTGAGTGGCCTTTCTTGGGGGTGTCCTGGATCCAGGGGTGGCGGAAGTGAAACCCCCACAGAGCATGAGGCTGTATTCTCAGGCTGAGGCTCCAGTGGCCTGAAGGATTCAGGGCAGTGAAGGAGTTTGGTGGTAACCATGTCCCGTCTCTCTTCTCGCCAGGACTGCTGCTTGTGCTCCTTACGAGGAGGGGCGCTGCAGAGGGCCAATGATGACAGGTGAGGCGGTTGGAGGGTGGACTCCGAGCGCAGAGGCGCGGCTGTTCCCCTGCGTGCCCGGCAAGATCTGGGAAGCTGGGAGGTTGTCCCTCTGCAATTTAAAAGCTGGGGTGGCGAGGGAAGCCAAGCATCCCAGACTTCGTCAGCTCCTGCCCCCACTGTGAGGCACACCCTTTCTTAGAAGAATGCAGATTGGCCCCCGAGGGTCGCAGAGCACAGGTCCCAGGTGGTCAGCTGGAGCTGAGGCTAGACCCTGTCTCATACAGCTGGGCTGGGTGTACAGAGGTGGCCCATCTACTCTCCCTGGCTTGGACCTGCTGATTGAAAGAAGCATGGGTGTCCTCCAGGGAGGGAGACGGGACCCCCAACCAAGCCCACTCACTATTCCATCCAGTGAGCAGCTGGCTCTTGAGGGAATCGTTACACAGATGCGTGAGCAACTGGTGAGGGCCGATCCTGATCCGAGTGAGACACCTATGAGAACTTGTAGTGAACAGAGCGCTGTGCCTCAGAGCCCTTCTGAGGGCGCCTCCCGCCCCTTAAGGGTCCCGGGCTGCTACGGCCATTGTGTCCCGGCCCAGGATGGACGGCCGGCTCAGTTAAAGCTAGCCCCGCCCCCTTGGCTGCAGGTTTCCACCTGGCCTTGGGTTGAAGAGCGTCCCCCCCCCCCTAGTTCTCTTATCACGAGCCTCTTGCCCCAGGGTCCTAGCGTGTACTCCAGCTCTCTAAGGAGGGCCACTGAACAGAGCTGAGAGGAAGTGGGACAGACCCGGAAGAGTGAGCCTGATGTGGATTAAAGGGAGGGAGTTAGTTCATTCCTGTCCGGTGGGGGTGAAGGGGTGGCCAGGAAAGAGCTGTGGCTACAGCTCCCGGTGCCTGCAGAAAGCACTGGGTCCCGAGGGAAAGGAGGCCGCGCAGGTTCTCAGCGTTGAGTCCGTGGATCCAGTGCAGTCACCTGGCTGCAGGTTTTGAGCGAGTTGGCGGTGTCTGTAGCGTGGCCCGGCTGCCACTGCCACTGGTATCTAAGCCCTGAGCTTCCCCTCGCTGCCCTGGGAGCCTCCTGGGGTGAGTGAGCCAGTGGTCACAATGGGCTAGGGAGGAAGCATGGTAAAAGAGGCGGCCATGGCCTTCGCCCCCCTGTTTCTGAGGTTGCTACTGTCTTCGGCAGGTGGGTCCATGTCTCCTGTGCCGTGGCAATTCTTGAGGCAAGGTTTGTCAACATTGCAGAGAGAAGCCCCGTGGATGTGAGCAAAATCCCCCTGCCCCGCTTCAAACTGGTGAGTGCGGAGAGGAGAGGGCATGAAGGCTGTCTTCACCAGCCTCTGGGCGGTGGAGGGCGGGAGGGCATCTCTGCTTGGCACACAGGCCCTTCTTTACCCCTTGGCTTTGTCCAGGTTTGCGGCTGTCACCCAGTGGCTAAGATTCCTTCATTACTGGTGTGTCTGGGCCCTGGTGTGTGTTGGGGAGGAGGCTGGCTCTTGCTCGTCTTCCCGGGCAGGTGGGTGGGGAGCGGTGGAGGTGGCTGGCGCTGTCGTTCCTGGAGTAACTGCTGCCGCCCCCTGCAGAAGTGTGTCTTCTGTAAGAAGCGGAGGAAGCGAGCTGCAGGCTGCTGCGTGCAGTGCTCGCACGGCCGCTGCCCAACCGCCTTCCACGTGAGCTGTGCCCAGGCCGCTGGCGTCGTGATGCAGCCGGACGACTGGCCTTTGGTCGTCTTCATCACCTGCTTCCGGCACAAGATTCCGAATTTAGAGGTAAGGGAGGGTCGGTGTTCTCTGGATGCTGTCCACGTGGCTTGTCAGCTAGTCGTTCTCTGCTGCGTCTTGTTTTGTGGCGAGAGTGACTGAGGAGGGTTTAGAGGGCCCCCTGCTTGCTGCCTGTATGTCATGTTTGGTGGCATCATGCTGCCCAAGTCTTGGTAGGATCGTCTGTTTGCTTGCTTGACTTTGCCAGCTAACCTTCCTGAGGTCCGTGGCGCCCATGCTAACAGTGGGATTGTAGCACAGGCTCCGGGATTGTGGTCAGCTTACCAGGGTGGGCAGCCCACAGCCACAGGAGGACTCCTTAACAAGCCGGGAAGTACAGTGACAGAGGGGGCGTGGCGCTGTCCTGGGGTCGAGGGAAAGGCCTTCTCAGCTGCTGGGATACTTCTTTTCCTAGAGAAGGTGCTTTACTGAGACAGGAAATGACTGGGGAGCTTGGGAAGAGGGGAGAAGTCCTCCTCCGTGGGAGACGAAGACGCTGGCGCAGGGGGACAGCGTCATGGTTCTGTGGTGGCTGTGGGCAGCCTGGGGGCGTGGTGGGGACATGTTGGGCTGTTCACTGCAGAAGCAGTGGCCGCTCCTCGTGAGGAAGACGAGGCTTTCTGCTTATCTGTAGAGTCCCAGTCTCGGAGACCCATGGGCCGCTCTGGCCCGCCCTTCACGGGTCACCGTGAATTGGAACCGGCTTGACAGCACTGAGTTAGAGACTGCAAACCGAGAGCACAGCTGTTGCTTGCTGGTAGTTTGAGTGAATTAGGAGCGCTAGTAAAGCTTCCATTCGCTCATTGCTTCCTCCAGTGTTAGTGAGCGTTCACTACATCAGAGACGGGGGTGGTCCTGGTGGACAAGCTAGAGGAGCCCCTCTCCTCCTAGAGCAGTGGTTCTCAGCCTTCCTAAGGCCACACGACCCTTTCATGCAGTTCCTCACGTGGTGGTGACCCCCCAACCATACAATTATTTTTGCTGCTGCTTCATCCCTGTCATTTTGCTATTGTTATGAATCGGGTGCCCCCAGCTTGAGAACCGCTGCTTAGAGCATCGGCATGGTTCCTATGGCCAATCCACAGGAAACAAGTACTACGTGCACAGCGAATCCATGTGTAGGGGTAAAATGGAGAGGAGGAGGTGGCGAGGAAGGAGCAGGGCCGGTGAGTGAGAGAGCGTGCCGGTGGTGACGGGCAGCGCAGAAAGCATGCAAGGGCCCCGAGGTGCGAACACGCTGGGCATATGTCACAGAGGATGGGGAGGAAGTCGGTCTGGCGGGAGCAGAGTGCTTCAGCGGGCGGCAAGAGTGGTGGAGCTGGGGATCAGAGAGGTGGGAGCTGCTCCTCGGACCAGGGGTGGGATGGGGATGATTTAGGATATCAGAGCACCACAGTGGCTTACAGGAAGGAAGGTAGGCAGAGGTAAGCCGGGTAGGAAACTGCCAAGTGCTCTGTGGCTCTGTTTGCGCCAGGGAGCGAGTTCTGGACGAGAAGCAGCGTGATGGTGGGGCCTTTAGAGGGGTCTTGAGGGCACCCGGGACCCCTCTGTGTTTGTACGCTGCCTTGAGGATGGAGCTGGTGCAGCGGTCCACGTGGAGCAGTGCCAGGGCCCGAGGCGGCGGCTCAGTTGATCCCCTACTTGGATGTGAGCCTGTGTGCTTCACTGGGTCCTCCTCGCTCTGTTCCTGGCGACAGTAAGGGAGTCCCAGGAGCCTGGGAGTTTGGGCGGAGGCAGTGGCAGAGCAGGAGGTAGGCAGGTGTTGAATGGGCAGGGGACAATAGGACCCTGCTTTCTCTTTGAGGCCCTGGCTAGGGTGTGGATGTCTGGAAAGGGCAGTTTCAGCTCTTGTCTCGGCTTTTTACGTTTCCACTCCTCTGTTCACCTCTCTCTTGGGTGCCAGGCCCGTCCGTGTGAGTAACCGAGTCTTTTTTTCCCCAGCGCGCCAAGGGGGCCTTGCAGAGCATTACTGCGGGCCAGAAGGTCATTAGCAAGCACAAGAACGGGCGCTTCTACCAGTGTGAGGTGGTCACACTCACCACCGCGACCTTCTACGAGGTCAACTTTGATGATGGCTCCTTCAGCGACAACCTCTACCCTGAGGACATAGTGGTAATGCCTGCAGGGCTTCTGGACCAGGTCGGGGTGATGGGGGTGTCACTAGGCCTGAGAGCTCACCAGCCTTTTCTAGCCCAGGTCCCTGGAGGCAGGTGACCCTGAATAGGAGGTGCATTTGTGCTTGGTCTTTTCTTGTTAGAAAAGTGGGTGCTGCTTTTATATCCAGCTTCCTCTGGCAACGTCCCAGTGAGGAATTTGCACACCTCTCAGAAGCAGGCTTGTCTTGCGTCGTGCCTGGCCCAGTGCCACGGCGCATGCACTGAGCTCTGTGTAGTCGCCCAGTCCTTCTCCCTGCCCTCTTGGTCGATGTACGGAATCTGCCTTGAAGCCACCCCTGCCTGCTTCTGTTACCAGCACCTGAGACACTGGAGACTCTGCCTGGGGCCCAGTCCAGGGTTTCCTGGCTCAGGTTCAGAACTTAATGCAGGTTTCTCTGACACCTTTTAGACAAGTCACCAAGGTGGAAGGGTGAACTCATCCCTCTCTCCCACGCTTACACCACCGTGTTACTGCGGTCGCTAGGTGCACAAGGCGGCTGTGGGAAGGCTGGTGCAGGCAGGTGGTGCGCAGCGCAGCGAGTCCTAAGCTCTGCAGCCCCGCCTCGGTGCTTTGCGTCTTCACGTCCCTGTCCACACTGTGAAGTAGATGTGCTTTCTCTAACTTACAGACCTGCCATCCCAGGGCCCCCTTTTCGGCCGAGACATTAATGAGAGTTTTGTGTTTTGGTGGGCTTTGGCTACCATTTATTTTGCTAGAAATTAAAATGGATTAATTGATTTAAAATTATATATATATAAAATCCCTCCTGCAATAAAAATTAAGTGGGAAGAAGTACCATTTTCCTACAATTTTGCAAAAATCTCTTTATTGCCTGATTCTCGGACTCATTTAGTCTGTCATAAGGATATATATGAAGAAATTCAGATTCTCACAGATGATGGTTGAAAGCAAAAAATCTCGTCTCACAGTGGCCCTGTAGGACAGAGCTGAACTAGCTCTTTGGGTTTTTTATTTACACTTCTTTTTAAAAAAAATCATATTGGGAGCTCTTACAGATATAACATCTCATCGTTCCATCACATCAAGCAGTGTTGTACAATTGCTACCACAGTGTCCCATTTTCTTTCTTTTTTTTTTTTTTTCATTTCTTTCTTCTTGAACTCCTTGATATCAGCTCCCCCCCCAACCGGTTTGCCACATCTTACACCTTCCAATACACCCATTCACGTACAATTCTGTTTGCCCCCTGGAGTGGGGTTATACAGTCATCAATGCTATCAGCCTCACCTTCCCTCATTTCCTGTTCCCTCAGGGAACCATTACTCCTTTTACTGTATCTGAAGGGTTATCTGTCTTGGTGTTAATGATTATACTATACAAAATCCCAATGAGTGTTAGTTTTGTAAAGGTTATTTGCAGTGTGGAATTGGAAAGCGGGTCAGTGTCGTGTCTATTACATCCTGTTCCCAACTGAGAAAGGGCCTTTTACTCATTCTTGGTTTTGTAACACAATACTCTGGTCATTGAGAAAACACTGGTGCACCGATGATGCAGATCTTTTAAATGTTAGTTTACAGAAACTAATATAGATATAGCATTCCATAGTTCAATCACAAAAGGTCGCAACTTTAATGTCACCGAATCTTATCAGAAAAAGATCAAGCTTTTAAAAGTGATGCGGCTTTCAGAAGTTGAGGTTTTTGCTCACTGGCAGCAAATAACAGCAGTCGTTTTCCTTGGAGCAGGAGGCTCTCTTCAACCCCCTTCAAGACGTCTGTCAAACATAGTGCGCCCCCATCCCCCCTTTTCTCCCCCTCGCCTCCCCCCACCCCCCGATTCTCATGCAACTGGAACATCTGCTTTCTTTGCTTCAGTGTTCATGTTCCTTCTGTTAGCAGTCCCTTCCTAAACCCAGCGGACTGAAGAGTAAGTCATGAAACTCAACATCTGAGAATGGAAGTATGTGCTGCAACGTGTACTAAGATGTACCCCTCCCCCAAACCCCAGCAAGTCAAAACGTCTAAGCATAGTTCATTGCAATTTGAATATGCATAAGCCAGGGAGCCCTGGGAGTGCAGTGAGTTGGCCCATTAGCTGACGGTCAGCAGTTGGACTGGACCAGCTGTTCACTGTCCATGGGAGAAAGAGGAGGTGGTCTGCTCTGGTGAAGATTTCAGTCTAAAATGCAAACCGGCTGCCATTGACTGGACTCATAGTAACCTGGTGACAGTGGATTTAAGCCAGTGACTGACTGTTCCACAGTCTGTCTGTGTCTGTGACCCTGGCCCCCGCCACTCCCTCTCCCCCGAGTAACAACTGGTGTTTGGGGAAACAAAGCAACCAATTCAGCTCATAACTCAAACTGCTACACAGGTGCTCTCCCTCAAGGTGCCATCGCACCCCTGCCCAGACCTGTCCCTGCAAACCCTCCATCCACCCGACACACTCACACGTGACTGCTCACTACACACCTGTGCTGGGGAGACAGTGATGACCTCAGAGCAGCCTTAGAGGGCATTTGAGTACGAGTGAAAATTAAAACGTGCTTTGCCAAGCCTTAACCATTAGTGAGGTGGGTGAGCCTTAACCATTGCTGCTGACACAGAGTTGGGCACAGTTCCAGCATCGCTAGCTGAGGAGGCACGACAGGGACTCTTGAGTCAACCACCTCGTGCCTACAGTGTATTACAGCTCTGGTTTCTATCACAGAGAAGCGTCAGGACAAAGATACAGGGCAGGCTGCGCACTGGTCCCCTTTCAGCCCAGAGAAGTTTGCACTGCTGGGCCTGACTGAGCAGGCATTGGTCTTGGTTAATCCCCCAATCCTCGCCCCCTCCCCCCAAGGTGGGGTGGCAGTTACCCCCTGTACTCAAGTAAGAGCTTCCTTTGCATTCCCTTCTGCCCCTCAGAGCCAGGACTGTCTGCAGTTGGGTCCTCCTGCTGAAGGGGAAGTGGTCCAAGTGAGATGGACAGATGGCCAAGTCTACGGCGCCAAGTTTGTTGCCTCCCACCCTATTCAGATGTACCAGGTAGCCAAGGGTTGTTGCCGGGTGGGGGTATTATTTCACGTGGGGTGGGTCAGAGGCCAGGCTTTGCTCTTGAGGAACTAGTGGGTGGGCAGCGATGCTTCTGTAGGGCTCTGCCCTGCATCCGGCCTTCCCAGTGTGAATTCAGACATGACAGTCCTCTATTCAGTATCCTGAATCCTTCCTGGACTTTAGAAAATTCCCCCTGTACCGGTGGACGGACCTGGGAGACAGACAGGAATGCTAAGAAGTCTTTGCTTACTTTGGTAGGTGGAGTTTGAGGATGGCTCACAGCTTGTGGTTAAGAGAGATGATGTGTACACGCTGGATGAAGAGCTTCCCAAGAGAGTCAAGTCTAGACTGGTGAGTGTGTGCTTTCTGTGTGCCCTTCGCTCCTGCCTGGGAGGGAAGGGAACAAGGCAGGGGTGAACCTCCTTGCTTTCTTGGCGTGGTTGCCCATCCAGTCCTTATTTGTCTATTCTTCTTCAGTCGGTAGCTTCAGATATGCGCTTCAATGAGATTTTCACAGAGAAAGAGGTTAAGCAGGAAAAGAAACGACAGCGGGTTATCAACTCCCGGTACCGGGAAGACTATATCGAGCCGGCACTGTACCGGGCCATCATGGAGTAGGTGCTGCCAGCCAGGAGACTCCCCGTCATCACGGCAAGAGTACCCTGGGGTTCCACAGCACGGCAGACACTTGGACTCGCAAGTTGTCACAAGAAAGGACTGGAGCAACCACCCCAGCATCTTCTCCCCCACCCTCATCGCATTCCTCCGTAGTGACAGGACAAGCCATTCTGGGACATGTGACATCAGCCGGCTGGTCGCCAGCTAAGGGGCTAAGCACCAGAAAGCTGTAGCCGCCCCACACCGGGTCGACTGTGCTGGCTGGCCTGTGCCCCGGCTTAGGACTTAGCTTCTGACAGTCACCTGCACCGATGTGGCCGAGGTGCTGGTGCTTAGCCCAACACTTCCTTTTTTGTATTTATGTGTGTGTGTGTGTGTGTGTGAGTGTGCGTGTGTATGCCTGGTTCAGACCAGCTTTTGCCAGCCCCCGGCCTTTCCTCCCTCCTTTGCCTATGCAAGGCAAACACAATGTGAACCTCTGCCCTCAGCTGAGCTGAGTAAAGGACCCTGGGGCGTTTCTGGAGGTGGTGGGTGACATCCGTCCAGCCCAGAACTGCCTCAAGGGAGTGCTAGCTAAGCTGCAGTATTGAGGTGCTAAGGAGTTAAGGCCACCTCTTTGTCCTCCTCTGAAGGAGCCATTAGAGGGTGACATGGATGTGTCCCACATCACTCTAGCACAGCGCCCCTGTGGCACAGTATTAGAGGGTGTGGGTGTGGGTGGGGAAGGGTCTCGATGATGGAAGCAGGCAGAGCCTGATGGGTGATTGTTTTTCAACAAAAATCTGTAATCATGCAAGGGCTGGGGAGGGTTCGGATTAACTGGGGCTATTGGAGGCTAGGGCCAGCTTAGGAAATGGCCTCTGGCCTAGGGGTGGGTGGGAGCTGGTTTGGGGGAGGGGGGGCTGGGGGGCAACACTGCAGGGGTTAAACAGGTTTTTGCTCCTCATGAATTTGCTTGCCTGGGCCCAGGATTGGAGGGCTTCACACTTATACCCTATGTATCCAAGAACCAGATTTATAATACTGTCCCCTTTTTGTTACGTATGAACGCTATAAACCAAATTATTTTAAAAACCGGTGCTTCACCTTGTCCTTAGCAATAAAGTGTCTTGAGCAGAACATTGGCCGTGTCTGCTCCAAGGAGCCAGAGTGGCCCAGGGTCAGGCCAGGGTTTTATCTAGAGCCATGCGTTCTGGAAGCGTGGCCATATGTTTTAAGAGCCCATAAAGCAGACTTGAAAGCTGTCCCTTAGAGAGCTGAGTCCCTTGTCTAGTTCTGGCCCTGTGGGGAGCAGGGCCACTTCTGGCCAAGAGAGCTCTCTGCTTCCCTGACTTGGAGATGATCTGGACTGCCTGTGGGGGAGTGCCCGTCTCTACCTGGTGGGTCCTGAAGATGGACACACAGGGGCAGCACTGCCCAGGTGGGCTCTGCCCTGTAGTCAGGTCTGGAAGAAGCTTGGGTCGGCTCAACAATTCTCATTGCTGCATTGTGCCCCGGACAAGCGGGTGGAGGTTGGGGAGCAGTGACAGTCACAGGTGTCTCCTTGAAGGGGCGGCTAACACCTGGGGTTCTTGGGCTGCTGGTGAGTAAGGCTTGGAAGCGAGTATAGATAGCCTCCCCAGGCTTTCTCTACCAGGCCCTGGCCTCATGAAGGAAGCTACAGGGCTGGGTGTCTGGTCTAACCACGAGTTCTTACTCAACAGGTTTTTCCTAGAGATGAGGGTTTTGAAAATCAGAGTTGCCTGAGCAGTCAGAGGGTTTTCCCCCTGCCTCCTGCTCCCCCGCCCCCAGCCCCCTCTCAGATAGGCAGGCAGGCTCCCCCTTCTCACAGAAATATTTCTTCTGTGCAAACTGCCAGGCCATCTAAACTAACAGTTGCCCTCTCCTTTCCATTAATCCCATTGACAAGATGTAAACTGTGTCCTCAATGAGTCATCTGTGGGCTCAATTTGAGGCGCTGGTGAGTAAAGCTCACGGGGCATGGAGGGTGAATTCAGGCTCTGAACTAAGGAACAGAGAACAGCATTGGGACACCCCCCCCCCC